TCATCAGCATTCTATTTGATTTTAAATTCATATTATAGAGACATAATTATAAATTTTGCAAGCGTTTTATTAAAGGATTTTTTAAACATATTACTTCTCTTATAAAATAACAATTCTTGCGAAATGGTTTTAGAAATAGAATATAGACAGAATATAGAAATAGGATGTAGACTTACAGAACTGCTTGTCACATTACTGAGGTTATTATGCTGATGAACAATGTATTTTTATAACATAAAGTAAATAAAAGATTTTGCGTATTCTTTATTTGTAATGGACATGAATTTTATCGCTGATTGAAAACAATAACATTTAATAGGGCTGTTAAAAATAAAAGTCGTTATTAGCTCTTTAAATCTGCTTGTTGGATGTTTTTGAATTTGTTTTATTGTTAAGTGGTATTAGTAATTGGCTTCTTGTTACAAATCTGGCAGGTACATCAAGGCCTAGGTTCACAAGGTCCAAGTTTAGGGCTCCAAATTCTAGGTGGCCCTCAGATCGTCTGTTAATTTTTCACCAATAAAAATATGGAAATAGGCATTGTGCGCTCCAGATTGACTTAATTCGGCCCTGAAGGACATGCATTTTTTATAACAGCCAAATATTATTCTTTTCATGCAAAGAGCATAATTTGCGGAGGCTGAACTTTAAATAAAGCTTTACATGAAAAAACAAGGAAGCCATCATTTTACCTTCTCAAATATTCGAATTTCTTCCTGCTGTAGTTTAAAAGTATGACATCTATATGTTTATAAAATGAGCGCATTACATAAGTTACATTAAGAGGGTTTTTTTTTTTTTTTTTTTTTTTTTTGCGATAGCATCATTGGTTTTGTAATGAAAGCCATTTGCCGTAAGTTGGTATAGTAAATTTTTAATAGGTAATTCTTAAACGAAGGAGTCGTTGGAAAAAGAAAAAAAAATGTTTGCTTATTTTTTGTCCAGTAAAAGTATATTTTTCTTGCGATTGAGATTACGAGCATAACCGTAATATTCAGTAATCTAATTTTACGCACTCAAGAAGTTTTAGTTATTATCAAGGGTTTTTCCATTTGATAACATCTTTCTTATAATTAATTTACTGAGTATCTGAAATTTTTCGGATGAAGAGTGTTGTTGTTTCTAATCTCAAATTCAGTTTCTGAGTTAGCTTTGAGTTAATTATTGATTAAAAATCAATAGCTAACTCACATGTTGATTTTAATATTGATTTTAAACAATAATTAACTGGCAAAGAAAAATATGAAATCAAGTTCGTGTTGTAGAAACGTATACTGTATTTTGAATGAGTAGAGATCTGTCTTGATGGGTAGGCATTTCCGTTATTTAAAAAAAAAAAAAAAAAAAATCTAGTAGGTAAAAGTGTTAGTAAAGTCTAATTAATATACTATTTTAGTAATATTCTTGCAAGTTCCCGTTTTGCAATGAGGAGCTTAGGAAACAGTTCTTATTTTTATATCGCTGTGTACAAATCGTTTCTCGAAACTTCCTCGTTACTTGATTTATGTTTTTCGTTATCTCGAGTGAGTAATCAAAGGGACTTAAATCTCTTGGAGAAGAGGAGCGTGTAAATAAATGAATGCCATTATAATTATTCTTATTATCACTGATATTGAGTTCTCTTGTGGTTATTTCAAATAAAATAATTTTTATCGTGTTGCTCAATATATATGTGTATATGCTATGCTGGCCTTTTTTAAACGCTAAGAAATAAAAATGTGTTAAAGCACACTGCGCAAGAAATAAATTGGCAGTTCTATTAGCTCCCTTTCTACTGCGCCGATTGACGAAATTCCAATTGCGTTTATCGTGTCTCGAAAGCGCGACTTAAGATATATATTAGATTTATATATAGCAGTTGTTATAACATAGGTATTTTGACACAAAATCGGACTCTTTCTGAAATGACATGACAGTTTTTTCCATATTTCGATTCTACGACTCAAATTATGCCTAAATATTAAGTTTAATAATTTTTGGTGAGAAATTTGCGGAGAAATTTAAAAATTTATCTTGGCGCATTTTTTTCAGTTTGCGCCAAGAATAATTCACTTAGCGGAATTCTTAATTTATAGTAACCTACTTATTTTCCTTTTTTTCATTAATGCACCAGAGGGAAAAAAGGTCCATCGTTCATTCTTTTCAAATAATTTGAACCAAGTGCGTAAACCTCACTTTCGTTATTATCGCTGATAATAAACACGTGAAATTTCAAAACGCTCCAAAATTTAAATTCACATATATCTTAGGAAATTTTGAATAAAAATCTCTAATTTTTTGCAGGTATGCTTAGAAATACATCTACTTTAAGATGATGGTAAACATTTTATAGTTTATAATTGAAAATTTTTTTCGAAAAATTTACAGGTTATTTAAAAATACAAATTTTAAAAATAAATCATAAAAAATGGCCGAGTTTTATTTGGAATGAACCTAAATTTCTAAATGTGAAAGGAAGAATCAAATAAGTTTAATAAAAAAAAAAAGAGATATTATTAAATATATATCAAATTCAGTTAACATGGAGGAGCTAACATTTTGAGAGCTAATTTTTGTAAAAACTACTCATGCGATTGTTGCAAAGCTTGGCATTTCAGCTTAATTTGAGTCGTGGAATCGAAATATGGAAAAAAATTGGCATGTCATTTTAGAAAATGTCCGATTTTGTCTGAAAATACCTATATTATAACAATTGCTGTATATAAATCTAATATATAGCGCGACTTATATATTATCTAATATATAATATATAAGTCGCGCTTTCTAGACATGAAAAACGCAAGTTGAATTTAGTCAATCGGCCCAGTAGAATTGGAGATATAGAACTTTTTTTTGCGCAGTGTACATCGAAGGAAACCTAATCGAGGTGTTTAATTGTCTTCATTTCTGATCTGGCAAAACAGAAAATATTGCTGCTTAATGTAAATTTATTTTGCCAGCATCGTGCAAATGATCTAGTGAAAAATGCCCAATTTCTGGCAACATAGTATCATTGTAAATTATTTTCCAGCCGTTTAGAAGAGCTCATTTTAAATATAATAAAATTTGATCTCATCTCTCTTTAATTTCTGGCCAACTAATCCTTAAATCATAGTAAGCCCATCGAGGTTATTAGACTCTAGTCTTCAGTTTTTCAAATTGTAGTATATGTATGTGTGTCCCTATATAGCAATCTGATAACTTCAGATATAGAAGCATGCATGCAAACTGTATACATACCTCCGTATTTTTATATGTGTGTGTGTGTTGACATATATATACAAGGTGTGGCTATTAATTTCCAGGACTGCTCTAATAACACCAGAACAGATGATGTGAAGAACGTAACCTTTTAATATGTTTCGAAGTAATCCCCATCTGCCGTAATACACTTCTGTGCTCGGCTGTATAAGTTGTGGAAACAACTTTTAAAGTCCTCTTTCGGAATGCTCTTCAATGTCGACGTCACATTAGTTTGGGAAACAAAAAAAAAAAAAAAAAAAAAAAGGTCTGTGAAGGCCAAGTCTGGAGAGTATGGCAGATGATGCAGCTCCACGACCTCATGCTTGACCAAAAACCTCTTCACTGGGAACGTAATGTGGGGGCAGGCGTTGTCATGCAACGTGGCGTCAACATTGATGAGTTTTCCGAAAGAGGACTTTAAAAGTCGTTTCCACAACTTATTCAGCCGAGCACAAAAGTGTATTACGGCAGATGGGGATTACTTCGAAATATATTAAAAGGTTACGTTTTTCACATCATCTGGTGTTATTAGAGTAGTCCTGGAAATTAATAGCCACACCTTATATATATATATATGTGTGTGTGTGTGATATTTTCCAGCAGTCGTGATGAAGCTTGGCATTGCTGCGTCTGAGTGTCAAGGCGACATCAAATAACGACACAATAGGATTTAAGTTTAATATGTAAGATAAAAAATATGTGAATCAAAATTATAATTTAACTAGCGGTAAAACGTTAATTCTCCCTCTCTATTCTAAAAATCGCAATAACTTCTCTGGATTGCGTCATTTCTAGATAATTCTATGGCCTGCGCTGCTCTGATGACATAATAATTGGTAACTGAAACTTCCATTGTTAACCAAAACTTTTCTCTTCGCGTGCTTCCATCTTGCATAACTACGCACTTCAGCTTCTGTCTGTGCTTAGACGAAAAATGCTTCCTATTGAAATAATATCAGTAATGTAAATGTTCTTGAATTGGCACAATTAAGCTGCTAAGCGATCTGTGGTCACATAATGTCAAGTGGAAATAAAAATGGAATTAAAATCGCATCGACAGTGCTCCGTCCTTTCCTTATGCTTTTATTATATCATATGTGTGTGTTGATATATATATATATACATGTGTGTGTCAAAAACTTGTTGCGTGAGAGTTGCTCTCTATCTTCATAAATGCTTTATTTAGAAAACAATCTTTTTATAAACTTCATGAAAAAAAAAAAATATTTTTATTTTATTCATTAGTTTATTTATTTATTTTTGAATTGTTAATTAATTCTTTTATACAATAAAATCAGAAGAATGGCTCGATTGATAATTCTTTTGGCTGCTTGATAAAGACCATAAAGGGTTTCAATTTAGTTTTGTTTCTAATTATGTATTAAATTGTCTCTTAGTTTTGTGATTCAATTCCAGATTTAATATCCTGTTATGTGCATTTCATTTCAATGGTCTTTAGAATTATTCAACTATCGACTGTAAAACTATTAAAATTCGAATTTTACTCATATATATACAAAAATTTGTTTATTTATTTCAGTAATCATCTATCAACATGAATATACTGAATATAGTACTGAAATAATTTATTTATTTCAGTAATTCATAACCAACGTGATTTTAATTGTACTTGAGAAACAGTGCTGTCATCTTTAGATCACATTGCACTGTTCGATTTCTATGCGTAAATTTTATTATTTATGTCTGTAAAAATAGATTTATTTAAATATAAATTAGAACAGTATGTAATGTATGTGCATATTAATTTTTACTTTCAGAATCCCAATGACCTCTTCGAGCTGTTGGAAAAACTCACAACCAATCGCTTGGATGATCAGAGATGTGCCCTTCCTCTTCTGCTTCAGGTAATGCCATGCTTTCGAAGCAGAAGCTGCTTTAATTATTCCTCATGCTATTTAAATGGAGTGGAATTAATCCTGTTACAACCCAAAATAACTTCCGCAAATGAGAGAAAGATGCATAAGCGTTTTATTTCGTGCGTAGTAACTGGAGCTTCTTGGCGAGAAAGAATATTTTGGGAAGCTGATAACCTGCTTCGTTAGTTCTCATAAATAATGGATTATCGCTGTAATTTAGCGCTCATTTGAGAGAGTATATGTTACGTCTGTGTGTACATGTAGTTTTCAAGATTTACAAAATTAAATGTTATTTTTTACGTTCTTGTACGAAGTAAAAAGAAAGTATTGTCATCGCGAAAAGTTTCAGGCAGCATATTTCAACGAAAATATCCATTTTGACCGCTATCGAATGCAATTGAACTTTGTTTTTGCGTGACATCTGTAGGTAAGGACAGAATAAAAAACTCTTTTCCTTCAAAAAATTATAAAACTGCTTTAAAATGAAGAATTTTTCGGTACGTACGTACATCTCGCATAACTCAAAAGTAGTTTTAACGTTCTGTCAGAACGTTAAAATTTTGTATGTAGGACTATAACATGTAGATGTACACCTTGTATTTTGGTTGCAATCGGCCGCACCAAAAGTATATAAATATATGTATATATATATCCACTCTGTTACTCGGCTGAGTGAATTCAGTTTCTTTATTTTTGTGTGTTTGTAAATTGTGCATTTTTTTTCTTTAAAAATGATTGATTATTGTTGAATACAATTAATCAACAATTTAAAAGCTGTTTAAGTGCGTCGGTTAAGCCTAATTTTTAAATAACATGGTGGACATATTTGTTTACATTTGAAACAGCAGAATAGTAGATTTGTTGCCAATCTAGAGAGACTAAGCTTCGCAACAACAAAGATAACGCCTTCTTTTATTATTGCAAATTAAATTATGCTTAATCCATTCTGGAATTTATTCGAGGAAATAAAGTGTTTCAGATTTACTTCATAGTTTTTAATATAGATATTTTGACTAATTCAGATATCAAACAACAAAAATCAGCGTTATATTTTCAAAATTTTTCGCAGGACTAGTTTCGATGGTTTTACCGAACCACCATCCTCAGCTGCAAAACCGCAAATGAACAAGATAGGAAATAATGATTAGATAAGATAAGAAAGTCTGGACAGGAATAAGTCCAGACTTTTATTCAGTTATAGTGTCCTTTTATTTAGTTATAGAAGTTCGGTAATATTTTGAGTTTTTATGTATTTTTGCCTTGTCGGGAAGTGAGAACTGAATTAATCGTCTGTAGAAATAACTGAATCGTCTCTGAAAAACTGTTTTTGTTTTGTTTGCTTAATTTATTTTATACATCGTTCTAGATTTGCTATAGTATTTGAATAGAACGTGCGGCAACGATTAGATAATTCTTCAAATGATATAAAATTATATGCATTCTGAGCTATAATATGGACCAAATGTAACGCTGTTAAGTGAACCTAGCGCCAGAGTGTCGTTATGGTAAACAAATTTAGTGAATTTTAAAGAGTGCATTTATTCTATTGTGGTTTATGCGGTATCGACGATGTAGATTTAATTCAGTCCAATAAGTTAAATGAAAGGCAATAAAAATGCGTATAATTTAATATTCCGTGCAAGGAAATCATGTGGTGTACACATCAGTTTTTTTTTTTTTTTTTTTTTTTTTTTTAAGTAAGAGTATTATTGCTGCGTAATTCACTTTTATTTAGCCTATTTGACTTTTATTGTAAACCTAGTTTTAAGCATATACGCGTATATCGAAACTTATGGTATTCGGAACGCAGTCCTTTTATTCAGTTATACAGAGGCTGTTCACACATTTTTTAGACGATGTATATTGTATTCACAAAACTAAATTACATAAAATTCTTGTGTTTTAAATGTTCTATTTGACATCCCTTATTCTGAACTATCTTTCGACACCGCAATTTCCAGGATAATAATGCCTTTTGAAGTGGCAGAAGAGGTATTCTATCCCATTCCTCCCGAACAGCCTTCCAGAGTCCTATTAGGGTTTTGGAACAACGTTTGGATAATGCAGTTTTTAAAAGTCCGAAAGCACAAAAATCCATCGGGAGATTTAGTAGGGATATCAGTGAAGGGTATGGCCTTGATACCAATTTTTGGTTCCATTTCTTTAATTAAATTTACAGTGCATTTTGATGTGTGACTGCTAGCTTTGTCCTGATGGAGTCTCACAGATGGATGGCACTGTGGGTAAAGCGATGGTATTTCATTCAGAAACATTGGCGATAAAATATGTTCCTGATAGTATTTGGAGTTAATCTTGACATTTTTTTGTCCTCTCTTTATTTTTAACTTGCCATTATAAGAAAAACCAGCAACAATCATGAATCCTTTAGAAAAACTTTCTTTCGATTCCTTGAACCATGTACTTAAATTTTTTTTCTCCCCTTTTATGATAATAAATGGCTCTTTTATCGTTACAATCATTTAAATACACCCATGCTTCATCTATTGTGACAATTGTTTTCCATTTTTCTTTGGATAAGTGTTTCTCATATAGAAAATTCTGCAGCGTGTCCTGCGTTGACCGATATGCTTTGGAAAAAGACGATGCACATTGCGTTTTTTCGCTTTCTTAGGATTTAAAACAACGTTTATCATTTTGTTTACAGTGGACACCGAGCATTTTAATGATTTTGCAACTGTCCTTTGACTAGGGGGATTTTCTTTTAACATTAAACAATGTACATTTGCAATAGTCGAAGATGTCCGTTTTTTCCTTGGATACTTGTTTGGAATTTTTGTCCCACTTGAGGCTCCAATTTGACGTTTGTTTCCTTTCTTGTTGATGATATTACCTATCGACGCTTTAGATATCACAAAACCATGACTCTCACATCGTTTGTGGATAACGGAGTATGCATATATCTCTTCGGAAAGAGCGTAAATGTAGCCTTCGCACCACTGCTTTGTTAAATTCGCCATTTTGAATAAAAACAAAACTTTCAAGCCACAGACGATAATTTTGACTTTTAAAAACATAGTACAATTGCAATTACTTCTTTTGCAGCAAACGATTTTTTATTACCGCTTACCAAAATCGTCTAAAAAATGTGCGAACAGCCTCTGTAGAAGTTCGGTAATTTGAACTCACCCCTTCGCGAATATTTTAGACTAGAAATAATTCTAAAAGCAAAATTTTGTTGTGTAACTAAGAGTATATTACGAAGTTTTCTTTAGTTGCTATTGTTATTTTTATTTATTTTAATATATGCAATATAATAAATTAGAAGAGTTGAACTTTAATTTTTATGAGTGTAAAATATTGCAGCTAATCGTATTTCAGCAACTATGTATGTAGATTTTTCTAATTTTACGCTCTGCATCGCATTTTAGCCAGTTTTGGTCTTTAGTATTTGAGTCGTCTCAGGCAGTTTCGAAATCCATAGCAGGTGCTTCCTACTTATCCTTTTAATCTGCAAACAAATTTTTCTGTAAGAATAAAACTGGAATATGCGCCACTTGACAAAGCAAGAAGACCCACTGCAAAAACTGCAGTTGCGAAAATTCGAGAGTCTTATATATAGGAGGTTTAATAAATTTTTCCCATTATTGTTGTTTCGAGCTGGGGTCCCCAATCTTTTCCTTGCATTGACCCTTTTTAAAAAGAATGGTTTTCTACATCACTACCATACACTTTTCTATGTAATATACAACATAATCATAATATAAATAATTGCATATATATTATTGAATTGAGAATATGAACAGAAATTTTGGAAAAAAAATAACTGTGCAAGAGAGAAATATAGAAAGTATTTTAAAGATTTTAATAGGAACTATTCAAATTTGAGAGTTTTTGCAGAGACAATAATGAAGATTATAAATACGAACGAAAATAGAATTGGAATTCGGCACCGAGATTCAGATTTTGGATTTTATATGTTTTTTCTGGCCAGTCCCATTTTTTGACCATACGGCCGGCTTGTGCCGGCTAGAAGGATCGGGTCTGTGCCCTTATAATGATAATGGTATAACCTAATCACGGATCGTAGTCTTACTTACCGAGTTGCGAATTCATTCTCCAGCTCTTAAGCATTTTACTGACAGGGTCGAAAGCAAGACGTGGACTAACTTAGTTTAAATCTTTCTGTTCATGTATTTCACAATTATGGTGGTCGACCATTTAAATTTTGACCTAAAAAACGCAATATCACTTTTTTTTTCCTTTTAAATTATTGGAATTTGAGTCCCGAAGGACTATTACTTTCGTTTTGGCATTTTGCGTCGAATTTCTATAAATGTCGGTTCACTTTTCAAACTGTTGCCACAAAATGTTAAGAGTCCTGCACTACATTTGAAGAAATTAAATAATGAAAAATCTGCATAAATGTATGTATATTTCTCGCATTGTGATAAAACAACAGTATCTAGAGCCGTATAATTTTGAATGACGTAATCCTACTGCGAATATGGGCATCTGAAATCCCGAATTTGAAATTTCGAATTTGTTTTATTATCGATTTCATATTTTGTAAACCTTTAACGAATTTTTGAGTAACAAACTTAACGATTTAAAAGCAAGCAATAGCAACATTCTATGGGGGGGGGGACCTTTTTATCTTTAACGCGTCGAACTGTGTATCGGAAATTCTAAAGATACGCTCATTTTAAAATTATTTTGCGACATTGCTATAACATTAGGTAACACACAAAACGTTAAAAAAACACTCCTTTGGACGTAATTTAAAATCTAAAACATTAAAGATTTTTGTTTCCCTGCTCGAGAAAACTTTACATTTAAGGAAAAAGAAAGAAACGAACGTCGTTCTGAATTTAGGCTGTGATGCATTGCGTTTCAATGGTAGTAAATATTTTGCAGAGATTTATTTTTTAAACTTGCGATCTCGTCCGCATTCACGTGCGTGTGTATGAAGATAACTATTTCCCCTTACCCTCGTACGTTGCATAATAATAATCTCTAACCTAGGCTAA